CCGTCACTGGGGTCGTTGAATTTTACTGAGGGGATTCGTTTACGAGCGAGGCTGGAGAAAGGATAAAAGAACCTGGACTTGCATAGCAACACAGGGGACAAAACTTTCTGCACGTCAGGCATGTATACTTGCTGCTCATGTCACCATGTGATGGACAAAAGGCTAGTCCACGACATGTTCTTTCTCAGAAGCCAAGCATAGAGCTTCCTGCTCCATGGGGGATTTGTTGTGGGAACTGGTGCAGTACCTAGCTTGCCAAGTGTACAATCATGAAGCTATGATGTTATTCCGCCTCGAATTCGGGGAATTTGCCAATGCCTTCGAAGCACTTTACGACCAGTCCCATCTACAGTGGTGCTGTGTTCGGAACAGCTGTCCCGAAACGGTGGTCGCCGCATGTTCCAGCTGTCCCGAAACGGTCGGTGCCGGGGTCTCAACACCATCCAACTCGGAACCTCCGCGCGGTCCCCTCGCTGGTCACATCCTGCGTACTGGTCGGGAGTGGTCGTCACCGGTCAGTCTTTGGGGGCCATCCTGGTCCACGGCCAGCACGTGTACCCCACTCCCGGCTCTTGGTGAAATCACTCCGCATTTGCGTCCGCAGTGAACGAAAACACGACAAAAAGTACAGTGGTTTCAGAGTAGATGGGACTGGCACGCCAAGGTGTCTTAGGCAGATGGGGGTTCATTGAAAAAGCAAATCTGGGGGCCCTTGTGCCTCAATCCACTATATTCTTTGTTTATTTGATGGTCTGTGTCCACCCTCTTTACGGGGTGCCAACTGCTTGGTGGTACAGTCAGGGGTTGGGCCCCAAACACCAACTTTTGGGGTGTCTAGGGATGTGCCCACAACGAACCACAACAGCACACTGGTCACATCACCTCTGCCCAGCATGTGGGGTCCTCCACCTCTTGCTTCCACCTTTTGGTCGAACAAATGAGAAACAAAAGGTGCGGGCGAAATCCAGCGAGCGATATCCAGCACCACCCAGTTCGGGTGCTCACAGATCGACCCCCCTGTGTGACACTGTATGTTCCGAAACCTACGTTCGATCACAGTCCTAAGGTTCATCTTCTCTTCCTCAAAAAGTGCCGAAACCCTCTACAATTGACCCAATCCACTCTCAAAATCCAGGCGTCCAAACCACAGACCACATCATCTTGGTTTCGCGTCTTTCAGGCACCGAACGTCTTCGACCAACAAATCTTGCAGCGCGTGGCTGAAGCCCAAAGGTGCCACCGGCGCGGCGCGGGTGACCCGTGCGTTGCGGAACGGATCCAAGCGGAAGGAATGCGGAACGCGTGCGTAGATGGCACAACGACATACAACTACGAGTTGCCCTGGCTGGAAACAAAGTCGAAGTATGTTGAAGTGGGATTTGATGGGACTTGAAGTATCTGGCCGTTCTTTTTTCGGAGTGCTGGAAGCAACCCACTGTGTGGGCACACAATGGCACAGAGCAAAACACCCGTTTTCCTGGCCCACGTCTTCTCCCTGCAGGTCTTCTCCCCGGTCTTCTCCCATCTTCGCCCCGCAACTCTGCACCACCCGGAGGGTCCCCAAACCCGCCATCCAAACACGAATCCCTTCGACCTCTTGAAAAACACGATCCGTTCGACCCTTTTGGGAGTCGTGTTTCACGTTTGTCTTAGTGGATCCACTGTTGACCAGTAACTCTCCAAAGACTCAAACCATCACCGTACCTGGACCTTCTTTCGGGGTGTTCCAGTATGGAGATCTCGGATAGTAGTGGGCTGGGGCGAAACCAGCCAGGTGACCGCTTTGGAGGTGCTGGTAGGAACGCTGGTTCCTTATATAGTAACTGGGATCTACTGGGGAAGGATGCCCATGGTACGCCGAGGTCAGAAAAACCTGCACTGGTGTCCAAAGCCGGCCCAAGCCTCCACTGAGCTCTGCAATGAGGCCTTGATACCGTGACGAAGCTTTTTGGTGCCAACGAATCGTGCAATTTCCAAATTTCCAGTGCGTCCGAATTCGTGTTTCTTTATAACTTTGTGGAGTGTAAACGGCCATACTATGGGGAAAATGGTAAGGACATGCTCTCAGCGGAGGATGCGTGTTCGGGCTCTTGACGAAGGACTGTTGTGATTCTTCAGAGACCGAAAAGTGATCCAAAGTTTAGATCTTGGTGATCTTGGAACGCTCCAAGTCACATGAGCATGGCATGGAGCGATGCTCAGATATGGTAACTCCAGTAGCTCATACTGTCCCACCTACTCAGAGTCAACCACACATAAGATTTCCGGGGTAGATAGCAAACAAATCATTCTTCTTCTATTCTCCTACTTCTTCTTCTTCTTCTTGGTTGGAGGCCATCGATAGTAGCTTGGAGGCCATCGCTCTTAGGTTGGAGGCCGTCCCTATTAGGTTCCTTAAAGTCTTTCTTCTTCTTCTTCTTAAGGACCACTTGCCATCGTTTTACCTCTTTTCTTAGGACTTGGAGGTTGGCTCTGATTGCCTCCCTTTGAGGCTTCGATTTGGAGGTGTTTTCCGACGTTCGAGGGTCGTGGTGTGTCCGGGACGCGTCTTGCCTGGAAATCCAAACAACCAGAAACAAATGGTTGTTCCAATATGGCAAGTAAGATCCTTTACAAGTCTTTACACAGGACGTGGCTGTTTGGTCAGATATTTTCACTTCGACCCAAACGATTTTAGCCGTCTAGGCGCGAGACTTCGGCTGCGATGTGTCAAGAAGGAGTTGGATCTTCTCATGGAAGCGTTGAAGAACGATGTTAACATGCCAATATGCAGAAGTCCACAAGCATCCATTGGTTAGACAATAACTCATTGGAATGAGACTTGTAGTCATCTTGAAGTCAACATTGCAATGGATGCTTTGGAATGTCTACAACTCTGCCCAAGAAACACACACGGGGCATTGTTCAAGTCTGACACTTGCCATCCTCGTGACCTCAAAAGAACTTCTAGACTCGCTTGAAGATTCTTGATATGGACGGCAGTCGAAACAAGTCCATCTTCTATTGCACAAATACATCTTTACACTCTCAATCTGCCTGGAATGCTTCTCATCATCCATTCACCTCTGCCGAGGCAAATCACACTTGCTGGTGAGAACCAACCCACCAACCTTGGGAACCCGAGCCTAGAAACCCTGTCCTTTTCGTTGCGCCGACCCCGCCTACCCCGGTCGCTCCGCACCCCGCCTGCCCCGGTCGCTCCGGTCCAAGCGGCGGTCGCAGTGGTCGAAGGCGCTGTCGAAGTCCTCGGGCGGCATGGCCTCGGTCCAAGCGGCGGGGAGGACGACCTCCGGCGCTCGGGCGGGTGAAGAGGTGGGGGAATGGTGCGAAACCGTCGACAGAGTGGTGCTGTCACGGTTCGAGGTGCGTTGTTTGGACCATTAGGAGTTCTGAAAAGCCTCAAGCAACAGGAACTCCCTCTTAGAGGTTTCGTTTTTTCTGGGTCGCCAACAGGGGTTCAAAAAAAAACAGAAGGGTCTTTTTTGAGGAGCTGAATGAAACTGCTGGGTGACCCAATCGATTTCTGCGAAACCCGTTGACCAGTCTGGCTCTTGGACCGATGGTCTAGGGGTCTCGGGTTTTAAATCTAAATCCCCAGGTTTGCCGGACCCAGGGCTGTTTGGAGCATCTCTGGTTTGGAAGATATCCTCCTCGGACTTCGGAAGATGGAGACCGCTGTGCCATGCGGTCTGGGAATTTCAAACAAAGACCGGAATGTTCGTTCAGGAGATTCCATTCTAATCAACCCAGGGTGCTGCTATATTTGGAATGAGACCACTGAGTTCGATGAATGGTTCCCATCCAAAAAGAACACAGACTTTATCATAACTGATCTATGATATAAAAACAATACATTTAAATACATGATTCATTACTTGAACAGCTTGTCTTTCTTTTCTTCATCACCATCTCCCACTTCCTTCCACCTTCCTGACCAGTCCCGCCACTCTGCCCGAGCCGCGATCGCTGGCCGGTCCTAGGCGGTTCGACCGCTCGGACCGAGCGGAAAACGGCGGTATTATGCGCCGCCGACATGCGCACTCTCGCGCGCACGGGTGTTCAGGTGTTTTCCCTTCTTCTTTTGGAAACGAAAACACAGGATTCCATGAACAGAAACGATGAAACACGTGCAAAACACAGGATCAACACTTTGATCGCCGTCACGTTCGTGTTTCTCTTTCGCCCAGTTTGGTGCCACGGACCGATTGACCGGCCGAAACTGACGACCGTTGACGGGTCCGATTCGGTACACCCCGATGCGGCATCTGTGGTTTGGTGAACGTCCCATGTCCAAAACCACATATGATAACACTACTATGATATAATCAATAGAGATAACATCAAATAATATAGTCACATCCCTTCACATGGTCACATCATGTAATCAATAGAGATAACACTACTCATGTATATACACTTTCTCACGAAACTTCAGATCCGATCTTATGGTCGGCATCAGCAAACAGGAACATCACCAACTACCAAAAAGACCCATCCCACCCCCCGTGGTTCTACACGCGCCGAAAACACGCCCTTCGCTTTCCGCATAGCGTCGAACTGAAGGTGGTTCCCCAGCTCGTGCCCCTCGGACACGGCGCGCGCCAGCAAAGCGCGGTACTTCGCACGGAGTTCCTTCGGAGCGCCGCCCTGCTCCAGCGGCAGATCGAAGCCACTCATGATCATCAAGCTGGCGCGGACCTGAGTCTGGCCGAAGAAATGGAGCAAGGATGCATTTCAGCAAAGGATGCTACTAGGCTCCTGGCAGTACTAGGAAAAATTCTTGCTAATAGAAACCAGAATTCAATTACACTTTAATTGGAAATAACACAAGAAGCTACTAGGACCTTTTCGCAACAGGACAGCGGTAGGATCGCCCATCGAAAGGACCAAACGGTAGGACCGTTGAAGTTTCATACGGCCTTACTTGCCGCCTGCGGTGCCCCCGGTATTATCTGGCAAAAGATATTTACTGGCCGTCTCAAGGGTCATAATGTGCAATGCAGGTTGGGGTGCTGTCCAGAACCAGAAACTGCAACTCTGTTCCCACCAGTGCAAAGGAGCGCCATGGAGACTTTCAGCTTCTCAAGCTTCATATAATACTCTAACTCGCAACCACACATATTCCATTTGAGTCTTTTCCCCGTGTGTTGCCACACATTGCCTGCCGTACGTTCAGCTTTGGGTTTAGCATACGTAGGTAGTTAGTTAGTGAGTGAGTGAGTCAGTTAGTTAAGCAAGGAAGTAACTTGGTCAGTTAGTTGTAATAGTGGCAGTAGTAGCAGCAGTATCGACAGTTTTCGCCTGTGGCCTCCAGAATTTTACCAGGGGCTTAGCATTGTAACACCTGTAGCCTAAGGGTGAGCCATTTGTAGAAAATCATTGGATACCTGTAACCTGGAGCAAGCTTCAGCGTTGAAAACGCAAGAGTGGACATGCCTCACAGCACCTGCTGTGCAACAGGCGGCCAAGTAGCTACCCATGCATCTTTAGACGTAGAATAATTTGCACTGCACACTTTAAGGCACCCTCCCCTTTGCACTCTAATAAAGGGGTGGGTATGGACTTTGTTACAACATTCCGGTATTCGGACCATTGCCGCAATTCGGCCGCTCTTTTAATCATTCCATGCGAGTTGGATACGGCGATTGCAGAATCGATCTACTTGAGAACTCGAGTGAGACACCATGAGAATTGGAGTTCCTCGAGCTCTCAAAGACTTCTCTACCTTTAAGGTGGTTGCTTCATCCAATGCGCTGGTGCTCTCATCCAGCAACAAGACCTCCGGCTTCAAGCAAACCGCGATGGCCAAGGAAATCCGTTGTGCCTGTCCACCCGAAAGCGTGTTCCAAGGCTGACTGAGCAGGGAGGGGTCGACGTCCCACTCTCGTGCAAGCTCCTCCAACAGCTTCTCAGGCTCTTCATCACGTGTGAGACCTTAATCAAAAATGGTCAACACACACACACACACAGCTGTGGGCACAGTGGACATTCTGGGGATGATTTTGCAAACGAGCATGCTGAATTCGAAGAATGAGATTTCGACATGCACTCAGGTCATTGGCCACAAGTCCCACAAAAGTCATCAAAAGTCCAGCTTGCACGCTACTCAACCATGTTGTTCTGTGCTCTTCCACAGAAGTGGGAAGAGCACAAGGGGAATGAATCCGCAGCGCCTGGTCTAGGACCATGAACATGAGCGTGAGCGTGAGCGCTGCACCAAGTCTAGTCACAAGTCCCAGAACACCAAGTCTAGAATCAGCAAAACTTGGAGAGCCTTGCAGTCTCAGGTGCTATTCAGTAGGCTATTCAGGTCTCTTGTCATAAGTTGGATATGAAGAGCAATAAGGAAGCTGGAACACAGAGTTGCTGCTTTCCGATTTCTTGTTCCCTGCAGGGCACAGAATTCAGGATCACCTGCCCAGCAATCCGGAAAGTTGGCAAGTCACTCTGGCTGCCGTAGCTCAAGACTTCCTTCAGAAAATCTCGTGGTGTCCTCACGTGGAGCCGCTGGCAAATGCTGGCTTGCAATACCCTTCAATCAAAAAGCATCCATCGTGGTTCTTCAACGTGACTTTTGAGATCTTGGGCTGAGGTCACTTAAGTCTCCAGGTCACCTTTGTTCAGAAGCTGGCAACAGGCTCTGACTCTGATATGACATCTATCCAAAGTCTTTGAGATCACAATCAACACCGACGCCACCCAGAAACGTCAAACAGGTTACGACCGTTGCGACAGGGGACCCACATCCGTTCCCTAGGGATCCAGTCGTACCGAACCTCAGAAGGCACCTGGACCCTCCTGGCACCCACCCCAGTCCCACCGAACCTGAGAAGGTACGACTGGATCCCTAGAAGTTTGCTTTCCATCTGTTTCGACGACGGTTTCGACACAGCTTCACGCTTCCAGACCGTCCTACAGGGACGACGTGTGGCACGTTGCAGGCACGACGGAGAGCGTCGACAGGACCGTTCCAAGGTTGAAGAGTACAACCCTGGACCGTGGCACCCATGCCATTCTGATTCAGTGGAGAGACATCTCAAGCTTCACAGAATGATCCAGAAATCCTCCAAATCCGGTGCCCACTTCTCCATTGTTGTGACGCCAAAACGCCCAGCTCTCCCAGCGCTGCATGGGACCGGCATATCTACCTACCTTGGGAGATTTTCAGGGGTCAATGTCGGTCAAATATTCCAGTCCAACCGGTTGCTCCTGTCTGGCTCTGGAAACCATGCTCGGATTGTCCTGCTGTGCCGCCCAGAGTCCCTTCCAGGTTGGCTTGACCCTGTGGCACCAACGAGACCTGGCGCCTCCATTCGACTGCATCCTCCACCTGGGGCTCGTTTTTCGACGCCCCGGTGACCTATCTCCCATGAAAGGAAGAGACACCACCGGGTGACTGATGAAACTGCAAAGAAACCAGAAACAGAATCGTGTTGGGCCACGTTTTTCAACCACATCCAAGCACTGATGGTGTGGGATGATTCTGTTGGGCTTTCAGCCTTCACAACAGCACTTCTCCAACAAGACCAAGTTGCAACCTGATGACAGTTTCGACCTCCACATGCTGGAACATGGTTCTTCTGCCTGTCGTAGATAGGCTGTGATTGGGGAAATTAAGCGCCTTGCAAAGCCTTTTTTCGTTAGACAATCCGTCACACACTTGGTCGAACTTCCTCCAAAATAGATCAAGCCTCCAGGATCTTCCCCGCCTGTGGCATGCCCCTTCTGTTTTCCAACAAAAAACCACCAAAAAGAACACCACCTGTCAGGATCCATCTCCCCTGCCAACCCGGGCCTCAACGCCTCCGGGCTCCAGCCCGGCGATCCGCCGCAGCATGCGGGACTTGCCAATGCCACTGGGCCCCAGCAGCGCCACGCGATCGCCACGGTGGAGCGTGAGGGGTGAGACGTGGCCATCCAACGTCACCTGTTCAGGAGAAGGTTGGAGATCTTCGTTGTTTTTCTTACTATATATTTTTTTTTTTACACTGAATAAGCATCAATCATATGTTTTTAACGAGTGATTCTCGAGGTTCCATGATCACACATTCTTTTTAAACATGTCTTTTCGGAAACGTCATGCCCTTGTTCTGTGAGTGATGACGCCGAACCACTTCGTGGATTCTTCGGACTCTTCGGACCCCGAAGGAGGACACAGGACCCAGTCTTGACCTATTTTGTCAGCCTAGACTACTATGGACTACCTATAGTCTTGCCTGATTACCGCATGCCATAGTCTACTTTAATTAAAGCCTAACTAAAAGTGGTTGCTCATGTAGACTTAGGGTCTATAAGCTATTACCAAGGCCTTTTCGTGGATGATGGGCCCTGGTGGCAGGCCTTTCTTGTGAAACGGGTCCTGTTACAGGTCAGTTCGGACCGACCCAATGTAGACTCTTGATTCACCATTGAAGCACCTTTTCTCGATGCTCAAAGCCTTTTGAGGCCTAACGGGGTGAAAGATCAGTCGAGTCTATAATTCTGTGGCATGGAGACCCATGCATCACTTCACGCACTTCATGCAAGTAAACCCTGCCACAAAAACCATGGGCCCTGAACCTGAAAAGTCTCAAGAACCCTGGCTTTTTCCGCCCAAGCATCCACCCTGCCCTTCACCACCGGTGTTCACCACTGGTTTGACCCGGTGACCTGCAGTTGCTTCACCAAGGCTTCACCACCGGTCTTCGTCTCGGTGGAGCCCTCGGAGTCGCCGTGGTCGTCGTGGTCGTCGAGGATCTTCACGGGACGCATGGCGCGCACCTGGAGGTGGCAAACGATGGATCAGGATAGCCCACAGGGTTACGATGGATAGCCCTGGATCACCAGGATAGCTCTGTGTTAGGATTTTTTGTTCATACGAAGTTGGACCCTATTTGGGGTAGTTGGTGGTCCCCCAAAACAAGATCAAAACGGTTTTGGTGTCATCCACAGCAATGGCAAAAAGGACTGAATCGCAAGAACTTCCCCCTTTTTGCCTCTTTTCCACCCTTCATCCCCCCCCGCATGATGCCCAAACTTGGTTTCCGGGGGCGAGGGTTTCTCAGGTGAAAACCACCGAAGTCGGCACCTGCGCAGGCTTCGCACTCACTCCACGCAGCATCTCCCGCATCACCTTCCGTAGCCCGCGGCAGGGCGGCTGCTCCTCGCGCGGCCGGGCGCGCAGGTCGTCGAGCTGCAGCCGGTGCTGCTTCTGATCCACCAGCGTTCGGACGGCCAGCTGACTGACCACCTGGCTGGAGGAGGACGGGGCGACATTGAAGACGAATGAGAAAAAGGACCCCAAGGTGATGGCCTCCACCCACCGTCCACCCGATGGCCTCCAAGTAAGTCATAGCGATGGCCGTGCGTAAGTCAGGATCCCGAGGTGATCACATCTCAAGTCGAGGCAACTTCTCATGAGCCAAGCCCATTGGGAGCCAAAGAGGGAAATATGCGAACTTGAACTGTGGCGGTGTTTTTAGTCGAAGCGAAACAGCAGTCGAAGCGAAAAAAGCGCTCCACCTGAACAGTAGTAGTCGTTGAGGCTGCGATGAGAAAGAAAATGAGCACTTGGTAGGCTGCAGCTGTGAACGGTGACCTTGGTAGGCTGGCTTCGCCGCTCTTCTTCTCGTTCTTGCCATGTATGAGTCCAATGGCACCGATTTTGACTCCAATTGATTGCTACGCTGGGCTATCCGCCTGGAGAGGTACCAAGACATGCCACTCCTCGTCGTTTTTGTAAACGGCCAACTGGTTCTACAAGTGCTGCGATTTCAGAAAACGGTCTTGCACATCTCATCTCGCAACTAATATGAGGCACATAATATGTCCTAAACTCCCAAATCCGTGAAACTGGTCCCTTTGCCTGTGCCACCTACTCTATGGGCTCGTTGAACATCACTGTGAACCAACTCACAAATTCACTAATTGGAAACATAAACAATTATCCGACTCAGAAGCAACACTACATCTACAATCATTAAACACGCACCATGGCCGTGGGTTTTTCACCCATTGAAGAGAAACTCCAACAGGTCTTTCACGCACGCACGAACCATCGAAGCCACTGACCGGACAAGAGCTGTCCGGTCATCATCCCCGGGATGTGTACGATGCCCGTCACCGACAAGGCGTTGATGATGGGCGTCAAGGAGGTGCTCAGTGTGGTGCGCAGCACCGATCCTCGGGGCGTTGGCCCACGCCGTGTTGCGGTGCGTGGTGTGGCGGCTTCAAGCTTGAGGGTGCCTGAGGGAGGAAGAGGCAGAAGCACCAAGTCTGAAGACTTCAAAGGCTTTTGTGTTTTTTTTGAGCATCAGAAGGAAAAAAGCAACTCTGTGTGCTTGCAAAGCAGCATCTCCAGAAACCACCAAAACAGACCAAACCAGCAAAAGAAGACCATGAGCCACCTGGTAGCCACTTGGTTGGAAGGTTTAGACTTGCGAACTGAGGAAGTAGTTCGGAAGTGGGTGGGTGGCTACTATGGAGTCAATTGAACAAGGAGTATGAACTTTGAACCCACTCTGGAGCACCTACCCTGCCTCCAACGAACATCCTGGTGGAAGGCCTCCAACCTCATGGTCTCGTTTCTCGTTCTCATGGTCTCTGAAAGGGTCTTCGGGATGGTCGTTTTGCATCAACCCTGAAACAGGGTTGTTGGAGAGGCACTGCGCCGCATCTCCGACTTCATCCGAGCATCTCAAGGCTTCCTTCCAATTGGCGCCCCGAACCAAGCGCAGCCTCGCCGTCGCGACCGGCGCGCGGCCAAAGGGCGAGGCTTGCGCGGATATAGCGCAAGCTCGCGCAAGTGCCGCAAGGGGCGGGTTGATCCTACTGACTCGATCTGAATTATATATATACATACGCGCATCAATATGACTAATATCTATCTATCTATCTATCCATCTATCTATCTATTTGTATGAATTTCTATACATCATCTTTCTCTTTTTCATTTTCTTAAACATTATATTCGTTATGAAGAACATTAACATCGGAGATTCTTCGACTCTCGCCATGAGGACAAGCCTCGCGCTGTACCGAGCACATCCTCTCACACCACATCCGGTCATGGGTTTGAAAGAAGGAATACCAAAGACCACGAACGGGACTGGCAGGGCCTCTTCTTTTCTTTACTACTTGCAACACGGGGTGGTTGACCTGTGGTCAAGGGCGGTGTTTTCAAATACAGCCGTCCGCCATACATGGAGTGTTTGATAATGTGACATCTAAGATCAATGACCTTGATGTGGCATTGCGATTTAAGATCCCCGACGGATGGCGGAACGAGCATCAGGGGAAAAAAACTGAAAAACCGTTAATTTGTATTGCATGGTAGCAATTCAAGATGGTGGCTGTTCTTGGGCATCACTCAACGCATGTAACACATCACCATGTGTTGGACACCGGACCCTTGACATCCGTGGACATCCGGGCTTTCGGATTGACACCAAATCAGCTGACTGAAACACCTGACAAACCTGTACTGTGTATATCACTTTGAAAAGGCCTCACTCCACTGGTGGGTGAAGAGGCCTTACTCCAGAAAAGGGTCTTTGAAAGAACCTCCCAACTTGGGCATATCCTAGTCCCTGCAAGAGTAGATGATGGTGCCTGGTTACAGGCCTTGCTCTAAAAGCGTGATTTACCTGTTTACCGCCGGTTGCAAGAACGGACACCATCCCATCCCATCCCAACGCATCCCATCCTCCGTTCTCCAAGCCGCTCCAAGGTCTGCCGCTCCGTGGCCAAGGCGTCGGTGACCTTCGCCGCGGCCAAGGCACAGGCGGTGACGCTGTTCCCCAAGATCATGCCACTCACCTGGCGCGGCCGCGTGGGACACGAGGGTGGAAGGACCTGTACTTCGCCAGGTCGACCCTTCGCGAACATATTAATGAAATTGAATTAGAATGAGCTCAGCCCCCATTTATAATATCTTTTATGGCTTTTGTTCTATAGGAATTTCTCAATTACAAAAGCCATAAATAATATATGAATGATAGGTTTTTGCCTTTTCATAGTTTAGGTCACTGGCAACCTCTCTTGGTGCTTCTTGGGCGATGCTTCACACACGCCACGCTAGCTGCGGTCGCGGAAACCAGCGGCGGCCCCGCGAGTGACGCGGCGGTTGGAGTCCGGCGCACGTCAGGGTGAAGCGCACTGTGCAAAGGCAAAGACCGGAAATCCACGGACTCAGAACCACACACTAAGACTTGGGACATCTGGATTTGTGGCCCAGGAACCGGGAAAAAATCAGCTCTTTCCAGGGGAGATTCAATTATTGGGATTCACCCAGTTGGTGAAACGAACGCATACTGCCCTGCTCGAGGTGACTTGCCTGAGGAGCATGACCTGGTTTTTGCTTCATTTCATTGCCATGCTCCTCAGGAGCACCTCCTGGTCACCAGCGGAGCCCCCGACACGACCCGTCACCGATCAGGTCAACGACGGACCAGCACCACGACCGGTTCGATGGGGCGGCTCCTCGGACCGAGGACGTGGCTTGCGGCACCAGCGAGGTTCAAGGACCCCCGGTCGGTCGAGTCCCCCGAAAAAGGTACCTGAGGTGACGGCTGAGGAAAGGGTCCTAGTTCAGCTCACTTCACCTCTCTTGGCGGGTGGGATCCAGCTGAGTTTCCGATGAAACTCATGTGAAGCGTCGCCCACGTCGTCGCAGGGCCCATCGAAGCGTGCGTCTATTCAGGTGCTTTTGGATCTTGCATTCTACTGGCTGCTGACCATTGGCTATACATGAATCATGAAGTACAGAAATCACACGTAATTGATCTTTCCTTGGCCAATGGGAGTCGAACATGAATTCTTAAACCCACACCTTTCCGCACCTCAAGAGGTGCGTCCCTGAAAAAAGACACTTCCTCGCATGTGCATGCGCCGCATTGCGCCGCCAGGTGACAGGTATCCACGTCCGGGGTGACCAGTAGGGTTCCGGCGTCAAGACGCCCAAAAAAAGACCTCCGATCCGCGGAGTGTCCGGCGTCAAGCAGCTCACCGATTTTGTTCAGAAGTGGGACGGCAGAACAGGGGGTGAGATGGGGTGGAGATCTGAGGGAGAAGGTCTCAATTGGGTGGGTGATCCAAGTTGTCTGTACCCAAACCAGGAGTTCCATGTCGGAATGGTTTTGGGTCCCCAAGTGAGTGGATCATTGATCTCAATGTTGTTTCTTAGCAAAATTTAGCTCTAGGTGCCTTTGAGAAACAACATGGCAAGTTCTCAAGTGAGCCAACGCGGGCACTATATAGCTTTCTTCCGTTCCAGCACACCTGGAACTCCAAAGCATCCCCTGACCAACGAGGAGTGACTGACGTGGCGATGAACACGCTCTTGGAAAGAACACCCCCAACGTGTGAACATTCAAAACACATCAACTGATGACGCCAAGGTGAGGGTGACCCGAAATCGACATTAATACCAGCACCTTCAAAGGGGTCACCAATGGAAGCCCCTACACCACTAAGGGAGCTCCATTGGACACCCCTTGAAGGTCCAGGTATGTTGTTCTTTTCCAACGCTTGGTCCGTCGATGCACATCCCGAAATCGGGGTCTGCTCAGCTTCATCGGACGAAGGACCGTGAGTGTACAAAGATCACCGGCAGAATTCCATCAACGGACTTGTGCACGTGTTGTTCAGCTTCATCTGACCCTTCAGTCTCAATCGGAGAAAGGTTGTAATGAACAGTTGGCTTCTTGCGCCGCTTTCCACCCCTACCAGCAAGGAACACTTGAAAATACCACCACCGAGCTTGCAGGGGTGAGTATCGTGGAATTGGTTGTTTCATCCTATGAGGAAGACGCAAGCCATCACGATCAGTACGTGGATTGTTCAGGTCCCATGACTCCAGTCTTTTGATTTGGATGTGCCAAACTGCCAAACAGTTCCAGGAGTGCCTCGCCTATCATCAGCCTTGCCTATCCCATTTTCGAAAACCACACATCGATCGCTTGTTTGGTGCCACGGAGCTAGAGCTCAGGACCAAAGAGAGGGCCATGAGGATGGACGTGGCCATGTGGCGAAAAAGCTTCGGATAGACGTACTCCACTCTGGCAGTGGCCTAGAGCGGAGTACCCGTGTGCGTCCGCAGGAAAAACACGGGGAGCGCCAGCGTTTTCAGCAGCGCAGCAGGCGGTTTCCACGAAGGCGGTCGACAGCGAACCGAGAACCGGTGCAAATGCTCCTTCGGTTCGCTTCCGAACCTGTTCAGCAGCCGAGCGAGTCGTCAACGGATCAACCGTTAGCTTACAGTTGCATGACCGTTGTCGTTGTTGTGGGCCACTTCTTTCGGGAGATCTCTGAGAGGTCAACCCTTCATGCACCACCGGCCTTCACCAGCGGAGCGGGACACCCACCCGCAGGCCCCCCTTCCCCTAGAAGGAAGTACACCCCTGCTATTCGGACCGCATGGAACCCCCAAACTCACTTGGTTGGTATTTGGAAAAGGGTCGAACCATGTCGAAACCTTTCTTCTCAGGTTTCCATGTGGTCCATTTGGTGGGGGAGGGTATCAGTTTTCTGACTCCACGGTGGAGCTGTTTTTCCACCACCTCGCTCGCCCTGCCCTCCGCGTGCCTCAGTGGCTGCGAACAGACCTGTGAAGAAGATCCAGCTCCACACGACGCCCGGATGTCTCGTTGACAAGAGGTACGTGAGCAGAATACCTCCTGCCAAATTGGGAGTAGGCGATGGACCTTCTTTCGGGGTGTCCTGGCTGGAGGTCCCAAACAGTGGTGGGCTGGGGCGAAACCAGCCAGGTGACCCCGACATGAAGGTGCTGAGTAGGCGATGTATCCCCTGTGAGCGTCTACTTGCCTTTGTCGGCACCGGCTCTATCAGCCACAAGCTTTTCTCAGGGCCTGTTTTCATGGGGAAAGTGGGTCTCTTATAATTAGGAACATGGCAGGTGACATGTATGATACAGGTATGTACCGGCTGACTTACATTGGCACCCTTCCAACCATCGTCCACCCAACAGGGAAAACCTGTTGCTATGTATTACCCGATTATTACCCATTTCATTGAACGCAGAGTGAGGTGTGAAACAAATTCTACGGGTGAGCATGAATCATCACATAATATCACATAATCACATTTGAAGGACACACGTACTGCATACTCGACAGAGTTTCCTGCTTGGTGAATCACAACCCTGAAGTCCGTAGCCATAAAGGACATTTGAGCCAACTCAGCAAGTCCTGCAAGATAGAGTTGTGCCACACACCTCACACACGCCACAAGTAGAGATCTGGCCAGCGCAGTGTAGCCTGAAGATCAGGCTTGCACATTGGTCGAGGAACTGCGCTCACTTGCTTGGATTACAAAAACCATTGTCCCTAGGCATGGAAGAACAACGAAGACCAAGATTTTCCAGTGCCAGACACTCTCTCCTTTTGTCTGAAAGAATCTCTTCAGAGTTGATGTTCAAAGCTTCTCCTAAAGTTGCCTGGACCTGCGCATGGCTGACGTTTCACACACACACACAACTGGTCTCAACTGGACTCAACTGGTCTCCCAACACCCGCGAAACCCGTGGGACCCGACCTTGGAGTGCTAGGCTCAGCATGCCCAGCGACACCAAGGTGCCCGCTAAGGCCACGTTCTGCACGCCCAGGGGCAGACTCCGCACGGCGCGGCGGAAGCGCGTGCGCGTGTTCCGGCGCGAGGAGGAGGAGGAAGAGCAAAGGGCACGGGTTCCCTCCGCCTCGAAGGTGAGTGAAAGGGGAAAAGACTGGAAAAAGCTACTGCTTCAGGAAAAGAGCTGAGGGTCTGCTGGTAGATCTGTGAACTTGTTCTTCGCAAGTTGAACTTCTTCTTCTTCTTCTTCTTCTCTGACAGGTGTTTCTTTCCCGTTGAGCTGGGTGGATTGAAGTGCGAAAGGATGTTTGACAATCATCGTTTTCCAGCGGTGTGGCCCTCTCAGCCTCCAAGGGAAGAGGCTGTCGACAGCTGGTGTCATTGTCAGAAGTACTCTTACCGCCAAAACCGTACCGGTCTCACCTAAAGAAACCCTTTATTACTACATATTACTACAAACAGATCAAATCTGACAGCGACAAAACCAATCAGAATCAGCCCAAGCAAACCCTACACATACATACATATCATTCATTGAAGAGCTGCACATCAGATCGATCCACCTTCTCTTTCAGTACCTCTATTCAAGAAGCAGTGCAGATTTTCCAGATTGATTGTATTCATAGTATGTCCGTCTCTATAATCTTTATATAGAGTATGCAAACTTCGAAAAGAGCGTTGAGCCAACTCACCAGCGAGGCACCACTTGTTGAGCCGTCCATTGAGACGTCGGAAAGCCTGACCCGGAGACGGCGACGGCGAGCCGCCATCGCTGCATGGTTCCTCTGGACAGTTCATCTGGCACCAGGAAAGCTGCCCAATCCGTGACCGTGCAACAAACCTTGGCGGAGCCGAGCACCGATCAGACTGGGCCAGACTGGGCCAGGAGCTGTGCCAGCCACAGTGTCGCCCACAGGTCTGCAAACAATGAGGACAAGAACCTCTCTAGACTAGAGACGCTACAAAAACATATACTAATAGTTATTAGGTGAAACGATTCACATCCAAATCCAAGAGAAACATTGCACCAAACACATCCAAAAAAACAGTCCAAAGACTTGCTTGTCAAATGCCCAGCACAAGAATGACTGCGACGCATGGGCGTACAGCGGACCATCGGTTGGGTCGGCACATGGCTCAAACCCCACCGTGCACGGTCACGCCCACGATCGTCGCTTGTTGGAGCTTGGGCCAGGCCCGCGCGATCGTCAATCGTGGCGATCGGTGGGCTCGCATGACTCATGTTGGACAGATGATGCATCCGATAGTCAATATGTGCTTGTCATAGGATTCAACAACGAGTTCTTGTCACACTTGTATTTGTTCTCGGTGAAAGTGAAGCTAGAAGATGTGATGACCATCTGGATGAATGAAGACCGGTCAATGCGCCCCAAATGGATCCCAAAGGTGATTTTTCTAGAATCAACCCGCCGAAAAGATTGATTTGACCGCAAATTACATTGAAACGACAAAACTGCTATGTAGGAGGCAATGCAAGGACACGAGGCAATGAGTGAACACCAACAAGGCTTTGTGGTTGAAGCTAGTTGAACAACATAGTTGCTTCCAACTGCTTTCAACTTTCAATGTCCAAAACGTCTTCAAGCCCATCTGGATGCTTTCCCGCTAGAGTCTATATATTCTGTCCACCTGGTGCGGATCGGACCATTTAGAGGAATGTGTGTCGAAGTTTGCCTCCAACCTTTCAGCGAAGCTGAATCTCCTGTCAGACACATTGTTCTCCTAAGACACACATTGTCGATTTGAATGTTCTCCTCGTGCTCACGTGCTCACTTAAGCTGAATCTCAATTTTTCTCAAAGACACATTGTTCTCCTTAAGCACGTCGAGGATCTCCTCGTCAAAATTTGCAGACCGCTCTCTCACTTTGACGTCCATCACTGACCAAACGGAGACCGTCTGTCACATGGCTCCTTTCCGTTACGAGTTCCAGGGCAAAGTAAGCTGGGATGCCCCGAAGCACAAGCTGTAGGAGTATATCCCCATTCGTGGGTACAAGTACCTCTTTCTGTTGCCAAGTGCCGCTTCAAGGGTACTTTCGAAAGTGCACACCAAGTCGTCTTTTCTCTTCATATTCCGAAGAAAGCCCCAACTCCTGATCAGTTGCCAAGCTATTCCCACTTTCGGGGAAGAGCGTAGAAGAACGGGAGCGAGGGGTACAATCCCTGAAATGATCCTCAAAAAGCATCGATGGCATGACCACTTGGATGACCATGAAATCCGAATATCAAACAGTGACAGGGCGGTGTTCACTCCACGTAACCATGATGTTTTTCAGGGAGAGTGTCGTGTTTTTTCCGCAGCTTGACCCAAAGCCTACGATGCCTCACTGGCTTGTTGTCGTGGTCCGCTGCCAAAGGCCGGCGCGAAACATGTGACGCAAGGTCGAGCGGGCCAAGACAGAGACGAAGAGGTAGATACGACGAAGACATCGACATGGAATCCAGGCTTGGCATGGCCCGGAAACGAGGTGCCATTTTCCGAAGATCCAAATAGGTGGGTTTGTTCCGTTTTCCATATCGCCATGTTGGTGAGTCATATTCTCCATATTCCATTTTCCATGTTGGTTGGTGCCCTTTTCCATGTAGAGGACTGGAGGGTGCGCACCCAGGGCTCAACTGTCTCAGGCGACGACTTAGGCAGAATTGGGCGCGAAAACCACGTACAAATCAATAGACGTCCTTTTCATCAACCGAAAGTAGAAGTTTCTCGAATGGATTGTCTTTTAAAACTCAATAGTATCCATTTTTTTAAAATCAACCAATCTTTCTTAGATTTTTTTGAACATCAATTTTTGATCACTTGGGTATACCCATCCACCGTCAACCGTCGACTTCTGCTCAATGCAGGCCGTGGCGGCCGCGGTCGCGTGGGCCGTCCTCCAAGGTGGACGGTGCATTCAGGAGAGGCACGTCGTCGATGGTGAGGGCTGCGAGCGGCTGTCGCAAGGAGCGACGCCAAATGACCTCGTCGTGGTTCGCCGATGGATGGGCCGTGCCACGGATGGACGTCTTCCTGGGAAGAGGACCGTCTGACATACACGAAGAAAGAGCCTGGGAATTGGGGGATTTGGTGGGTCATGGCACCAGGATACAGGTCCCTGTAACCTATCCACCGGAGAAGTGGGTTTGGACTGGTACATGTTGGACGGGGGTAGGCTCCAGGTGGGTCACGAAGAATCTCCACTTCTTGGTCAAATATCCAGGTTATCGACGTGTTGGACAAGAAGACGACCATCAAGTGTTCGGTCATACGCTTTCCCCGGACCGGGCAAAGCCCGGAGACGGCGACGGAAGCGTTCCAGACGGCCCGGAGATCGAACCCACATCAACCCCGAAAGAACACACACGGAAGTTGGGTTGCAACTCAGAAAAAAAAACAGGAACCCTGTCACATCAACCCTTGACCTTTCAGTTGCCCAAGATCCTCTCACTGAGATTCCCCACATCCACTGGGCAGCCCAAACGTGGAGCCTGGACGTCACGAACAGTGGCGACTCGTTTCGTGTCATGAACGCAGCCCGTGGCGAGTTGAGCGGATCTTCGAGGGCTTCGAGGTCCTGCTGAGCAGAGAACTGCCGCAAGCAGGAACTGATTGGGTTGTCGAAACAGAAGGTGGTTCACAGATATAGACCTTTCTCTACATTCTACATACTTACATTGTATCCAAGCTTAGCAGGTTGTCCTATTGTCAATGATTGACGTCGTGAGTCGCACTCACCGAACGACTAGTCGATCGCCACGAACACTCACCGATAGCACGAGGCGTCCCGCTCACCGAGGCGTCGGTCGGTGAAGGCAGGCAGCAAGATCCAAAAACCAATCATGCAGGAAGTAGGCCTGTTCCTGAGCTTTCGAAAAAAGACATCCCATGTTCTAGTCCTCACACCATGTTGTCCTCGATCCAATATCATTTAGCTCGATCCACTCGAACTGAAGACAGCAGCCCGCTGGAACGAGCACACTCCGAATAGATGATGGGCCAACGTGGCATGGCCCCGAATTCGAAGACCAAACATGTGATGAACTCCACTTCCATGACTGACTGGTGCTTAGTAGGGAATAAGGGAAGTTTCGCCCCCAATAGAGATTCTATTGGATCCATTCCCTCATTCCCTGCTAAGCACCAGTCAGATGATGATTTTAAGGAGTGCAATCAGCGTCTCTCCCCGTCATGGGCTCGGACGTTCTCCGGCAGAGTCTACACTCCTTTGTGGACCGACTCCTCTGTCGGGCCGACGCCGGGAGGTGGCCGACACGCCAATCAGGTGGTCAGGATTTTTGTTGTTCTCCAAGTCTTCTTTACCCTACACCGAACACGTCGTACCTCCTCAGGTTCGGTATGACTGGACCCTCCTGGCACCCACCCCAAACCCCTTCTCAGGTTCGGTACGACTGGAGGCCTAGGGTTAACGGGCTTTCTTGAAGTTTGTGGGGGTGGTAGTTGTATCTATTCCAAAAACCCTCTGAGTGGTTGGTCATCCAGGGAAGCGTCTAGGTGCTTGGTGTCAGTGGCCTTTTTGCGTGAACAGAAGTAACAGTAGACCAAACAATTGCATCCCTTCAAGCAATGTACACGGTAGTTGTTTGTATATGTGTGGAATCACCAACACGAACCCATGTATCTAAGCTGACAATTCTGTTGGACCAACGTCTCCAACGCCTCCAACGTGAACCCTATGTCTCCGGCGCGCCAGGACCGGAGGACTGTCACTCTTCCGGATGCATTGCCCGACTCGTTCCGACGTTTGAATCGCCGCGCGGCCAAGAGAAGGGCCAGCAAAAGCATGAGAATCCACAGCGTGCCGGAACGGCGCATGGCATAGATCACCGCGCTGCACCCCAGGAAAAGACCTGAGAAGGGAACCCCTCCGGGCGCTTCAAGGTGTTCGTCATTGGCCTCAAAGATTTGAGACCAACATGGGCGAAACTGGCAATTTGTTTTCATCTCGTTGTGATTTTTGTGAGCCCGCAAAGAACAGCTTCATCGAGCCCGATGCACTTCTGAGAGGTTTTTCTGCCATTTCATTCCGAGGCCCTGTGACATTGCCCTGTGTGAAAATAGTACAAGGCGGGGCAGCCTTCTTGGCTTGAAGACTGAGGGTTCCGAGCGAGAAGCTTCTCTCCTGCCATGGGCACGGAAGGTGTCCCTGATCAACGTGGTGGTCTATTCCAAAAAGGCATTGGGATTAGAGCAAGGAATTCTGAAGGATTAATCATAAGGTGTACCTTGGTTCTTTCTGCCAGCACTTTCAATCGAGATCATTTCCAACAATCTAAGCGTTGGGATTTGGCAAGGGCTTGGAGAAGGGAAGTCACGGTTTCCATGCAGTGTCACCACTGGATGACTCTTCCAGTTAATATCACCCGTTTCTGCAGTGTCCTTCAAAGAGTAAGGCTATGTCAGGGCCATGTCTGTTTTCACCTCAGAATTTTCCCAGTCCCAGGACCAGTCACTCGAAACATTTCTGACCACAGTTGCAGGGATTACGTAGGTCAGAATCTGACGTAGGTCAGCTTTCTCACCTTCGCTTTGGAGTCCCATGCTCCATGAAACGGCACGCCGGACCGCCCATCACGTTCCACCCAGGACCAGGTCGCGCATCAGCGCGCGCCGTGCCGATGGCGAGGCGGCCGCGGCGGTGGCGATGCCCTTGACGGTATTCATGGGGCGTCGGTCGTTTTGCTCAGCGGAGTGACGCTGCGGTCGATATTGGTTCTTACAGTGTTTGGAAGATCGACTAGGAGCGTCATGTGGGACTCGTTTGCTATAGTGTTTGGACAAGGGAACGTTTTACAGTTTATAATTAGCTGATAGCCTATATAAACGTTCACTGGTCCAAACTTGATTCGTTGCAATGTGGGATGAACACGAAGCAAAGAAGTCGAAACCTCAGCCAGTCCGAGCAAGTTTGGAGGACTTACCTTTGCAAACATGGATCGCTTGGAATTGTTGGGAGGGGGTGAGGAAATTATATAGATGAATGAGGATAACCATATAATGAAGTCTGGCTTGTCCCTTCAAAGCTTATCCACCAGGAAATTGTGCCCCAAGAGCCTTGAGACAGGCGACGTTGATATCGCAAACTATATCGCAGACTAGGATGTGTCCAAAATGTGAGAAACTGTTTGAAGGAACATCGACATGGAGACAGCGTCCTTTTGCAGATTGGACATGCATATCCTTCTAGAATGCTCTTTTGATCAGCTGGTTCAAGTGTCAGCCAAATGGCTTCCATGCAACACAACACATACACAAACATGCGGCCAGGCTGAAGTCTAGGCTGCTTCGAACCCCCGTATATATTGTGGGAACACACCATCGACACATGGCTACTGACGACCTGTAGTCTGGAGCTGCCTGGCTACTATCATAAGCAGCACATCAACCCTTCTTCTTCCAGCCATCGAAAGCTCTCGGCATGCTTTCTGGCCAGGGTGTCTTGCAAAAGGTACACACCACAGGGGGCGAGATTGGAGAACCAAACATGCTTCCTCGCAGCATCTCCATCATACCATGCCAATCAAATGTCCACAGGAACTTTGACAGGAATAGGTGTGCCTGGGATAAGACCCCTCTAGGGCTTCACCCGGACACCAAAAGACGCATGACACCACAGACTCAATGTAATGGATCTCGCATCATCTCACGGACATATGTCACCATCACACCAATACCAATGAGAGAATTTTCTGCTTGGTTCGCCCTGGTGACCGAGCTCTTTGCAAAGCTTCAACGTGACGAACGTTACATATATAACGTGACTAAACCACTGGGCTGTGTCCTGGGCGTTCATCTTCAGATATCAAACGTTTTCACAGGCCCCCCCAAGCCGTGACTGCGCCGCGCGCCTCCTTCCGGAATCCTCAGTGGTGCCAGCTGGCTACCGGTTTCCCCGGCGATGCGGTGAAACACCTACTCCCCCCAAAACCGGCTCCCCATGGGTCTGGCCTCTTGACCGATCGGGCCAGGAATACTTGACCTATTTTAGAGAGCCCACAACCCTGCGGGCCTCCTTTCAACTGAGCGAAGGTGTCGAACGTTTCAGTTCCAACGACGGGTTTGAATTCGGAATTCTCCGGAATCTCGGGAGAGCCCGACGATGACATGGAAACAGACCCATCGATTGAGTGAATCACCGTCGTGTCGTCTGCAAACTTAGGCACGGTTATCTTTCGGAACTTGATGCAACACAAACGTCGCTCAGTTTCCTGTTCAGGTGAACCTTTTACACGTATTGCAAGATGGGCAGAAAAGCTTTGTACTGATCACATCTGATCACTGACTTGGGTCAAAACACCGAGGCCTTCTGTAAACCTTTTGGGAGCTTGCCAGGGCGGTTGTCTGGGCTCTCTCACAAGGGGCCAAGGGCCATACCTTTGTGTGTGGCGTCCCAGTTTATAGTCCCAGCCTATTTGCAGGCAAACCGTCTGTAACTGACCCAACCTATAGCGTGACGAGACCAAGCAAGACGACGCAGTGCGAAAACCTTCAGTATGACGAGAGCCTGTCTCCGCGCCGCACAGGTCAAGTCGGGCACAGGTCGGGTGGACGTGAGGTACACGAGCGTCTGCACCCACGTGGGTCATGGACCCCTTGAACCACATCCCCACGAACCTGCCCACCAGGAGAACAAACCCTCCTTGGTCCACTTGACCACATCACCATCCACAAAGCAAATTGCTGCACGGTCGAAGAGAATGTGAATTACCACAACCGCACGAGCCACGCAGCGAACAAAGAAACACCTCTCCAATGATATCTTTTTGCCATGCTAGGCACCAAACACCTATCGGTTGTTCAGGACCAGGGTATGCCCTCCGCATAGGCCAACCAACCAAGGGCATTAGTTTAAAAACACGTGTATAAATATATGTTTCAAGCACTCTTTGCCCTGCGATGATCGAAATCCTTAATCTAAAGAGGCCAGCCAGACCTTAAGGCATCCCCTCTGTTCAACCAACCGCCTGTCGACCATCTCAGGACCCCCGACCAAGGAGTAGGTTCTGCACGTGGACCGCTAGGGCCCTCGTGGGGGGCACTGCTGGGTGTCATCCTTAAGGCCAGGTCCTTGACCTCGCCCGTGGCACGCAAGTCGACATAAAGGTGGAGCATGGTCGAAGGGAATCACTGTAGCTGCTGGGTTGATGGGTGGGTGGAAATTCTTTCGTCTGCGCTGAAGCTGCTGCGTTGCTTCATGGAGATGAATACGATGGGCTATTGTGGTTTTTGCTACTTGGAGAGACTTTCGAGAGAACCATGTACTTGACAGATTGGAACACTTGCTAACTCTGACCCGTGAACGGACTAAGTCAGGACACCGATCCACTTGGCCTGGAACGTTCTCAAATACCGCACCACTTGCACTTGTACGTATTCCTGCTGCGACCCCCACATCGGGAATGAATTCTGGTTACATTTCCAGCTCAAGAACACACTAAAGGGTTTATCGAGCTCTAGCTAGCCAGCGAATCAGCAGAATATTCAAACACGTTTCCATCTCTCCCGATCTGCCCGCCTGCAGCTGGACATCTAAGCTGGGCAGCAAGGCTTCGCTACGCTTGGGCGATGGTGGGGGCACCTCGTTTGCACCATCAGCAGGTTGCTGGTGAGTATGGCGTGTGAAGCAAAGTCACGAGTTCCACATGACATTGCACACCGTCAGAGCTTGCGCGCTGGGAAAGTCATGAACATTTCACTACTGAGCACCAAGATTGGTGGAAGGCGCTCAAGGTAACGGAAACTCAGCCAAAAGATGATACATGCAAACACCACAAGCAAGCTGAGAATGATGGCTTGTAAACACATCTAATCACGCATGCCGAATGTATCTACATGCCATATACTGAAATATAAATAGCGCCAATGAATCGAATGGTGGAAGTCAGCTTCACCGACCGTAGGGATGTGACACGGTGCCTTTAACCCACTTCCCGCCATCAGCCCCAATCTCCCAGCACCCGCCTGACCAGTGGGAACGCCACCAGGGGAGACCGGGGACAACCTCGGCGTCATGGGTCAACTGGAGAACCTCGTTGCAGGACCGAACCTTGTACTTGTTCCCGCCCTGCGTTGTGCATCCAAGACCAGCAAACAAACCCCTGTGCCTTTTCTGCGAACATTTGGCACTTCAGGATGGGTATCTTCCCACATCTTACCCACATCTGCTATGTTCCAGAGTGCATGACCTGTTTTCTCTCCAGCAAACTCTCCCATGCATGTGGGACACATGCCCCCCTGGAGACAACGAGACACGCAACAAATCTGCTGGAACTCAGTTTGAGTTCGTGTAACCCACTTCCTGTAACAATGGCCGGAGCGAGACCTCAACAAGATCCACATGCTCAAGCAACTGCCGCGCCACAGTGCTGTTCCCACGATCCGTGCTGTGGCTGGAATCCACGCCCTTCAGCGCCACCAGGAGCAGCTTCTGCAAAATGGCTCGTTGCCAGGGGCGGTTCTGGGCCAACAAGGCTTTCGGGAGCTGAGCCTGGCAGGTCTGAAGCAGCCCCAAGGTACACTCCAGCAATATCCGGTCTTCCTCGTTCACCAAGCATCGAAGCAGCTCCGGCAAAAGACCATGTTGCAAAGCGATGGGGCGGATCGTTGGGACCTTCATCAAAGACTCCAGGCAAAACAAACACGTCTGCAGTTCGATGGAGTTGCTCTTCTCTTGGTCATGTAATTCGGAAATCAAGAGAGGGATGCAGCCATGCTCACAAGCCGTTTGTGCATATTCAGCAGGCCGCTCATGGTTCAGAAGCAAGAACCACAAGGCAGATGCAGCTGCGTTCTTCATATCGAAATCACAATGCCCCAAAAAGTCTACAAGCAGTGGAATCGCGATCTTGAGCCTTTCAGGGCAGCTTTCTGAAAGCCAATAAATGGCATTCACGGCTGCCAGCCTGTTTTCATGGCATCCAGATTCTGTGACCGAAATGATGGCTGGCACTGCAGTGCTGTTACCAATTTCTAATGGGTCACAGTGCCAATCACAGGCGGTGTGAATCGCTTCAAGAGCCACTTTCTGAACCGTCGGCAATGCATTGTGGACCAGGTCTGACAACACTTGGCTGGCCGTCACCTACAGGGGAGGTCAAGCCCCTGCAGTTGTGGAGGAACAGCTGCTACAACAGCCCCATACGCACAAAATGAAACAAACTAGGGAACACTAAGCATCCTCAAGTACATTGACATTTGAATACGGACACATCAAGCAATCATGAACCATACAAACATATGCAATCATATTGATTTGGTAGTGTTACTATTCATGCGCTAGGCGCTATCTATCTTCTCCAGGATGTTTTTCGCAGCCAGTAGCACTAGGAGCTATGTTGGTTCCTGGACAGGGTGTGCTTTCGCCATGTTGCAGCTAGACCTGGACAGTCAAACGTATCTCAGATCTCAGGCTTCCAGCAGACTGCAGAACATCATCCCATTGGGCGGAACCAACTGCTCATGTTGGGAAGAACAGTGAGAAGCTGGAAGTCAACTGAGTTGAGCAAAACAAGGAGGGAAACACGTTTCCAACACAATGGCACATACAGAGCAAACACATCCAAACACTAAAACAAACACAAGCAAAAACCCGCATGGACCCGCGAATGTCTCAGCCAAGATCTCTGGACACACAGCGCACCACAGCGCACCAAACACAAGCTGCTTGGGTGCCGGAGCCTTACAATGATTCGAAGCACCATATCCACACCCATGTTCAACCCACCTGCCTTCACCTGCCCGAGTACCTCTAGATCTGAATCTGATTCGATCAAGTTGGAGATCACAAAGGCCGTTGCCAGTGGGGCCACCATGGCTGCTTCCCGCAAGCCTGACACCAAAAAGCGCATCAGGTAGCCACGTTCGTCCTGACAGCCAGGCGGGGCCAATGATTTTAACCGCCAACACTTGGTATGTTTGACCATCCTGTTTGGGTGTTCAATGGTGTCCTGGCTGCAACAAACCCTGCACATTTGACATAGACATTCTCATCATTCCCCAAACAGGACATCCGTTCAACGGATGGTCCAGGTTCATTTGGTCATCCAGACCATTCAGGCGCATTTCACCGTTTCAACATCAGCAAGGCCGCCAGGCCCCACCCATGCAGACACGCATGGGGCCAGGCGGTCGATGACAAGTGATTCTCGATTCACCCCGTGATCCACTGCAAACACCCATGGCGTTGGAGATGTTTCTGAAAATGGGAACGAGCCACAAACAACACCATTGGTTGAACCACAATGGTAGAGTCGGGCTTCTTCTCTGCCCAAAATTTACCCTCCGTTTACCCATTAGTGATCTCCGCTGCTGCCTGTCTTGACAAACAGGGGATTTTCCGTTGACCGTGATTGGGCAAGGCTCAAGCTGGTTCCAGTGAGGCGTGGACATCAAGGCCACGATGGACCATGCAGCTCGATGCACCTCCTCTGCTGCCCAAGCATCTAGTCGGTCTCCTAGGCCGAAGGGCCAGGGGGAGCCCATCATGGACGGCTCGGACTCCAGCGTCCGAGCCGGGTTTATGTGCCACTCTTCGACCTCCGGAGGTTTTCGGAAAACGCCCAACGAGGTTTGAGGGAAGGAAGGCTGGAAGGGACATGCACCATGCCTCCCTCGTTCGGGTCGCTCCCCGAGTCTCCCATTCACTCCTCCCAGCTGAGCCAAGTCTCTCTCACCACATCGAACTGCTACCACCGCCTTTCGCACATGTGCTGTCGCTCGAAGTCTCTCTCCCAAACACTCAAGCGCAGGAGCCAGCTTTTCCTGGGAAGACGCCGGGTTGCGAACGCTGTTGGGAAAGCTGTTTTTTGTGCATGTGGGGTGCGCTGCATCACGAAAAAAAGAAAGCGCGTGGAAGACGCGCAATCTCATGGATTTCTGGAGTGCCCCCTGTTGGGTGCAGTTCTGAAAAACACTTAGTAGCAACGCCAGCTGCTGGGTGGTTCGACCTGGTTGCCGGGATTGAATGGAGAACTCGTCGACCAAAATGCACCCGGTTGGGCCAGTCTTGAAACTAAAGGATACAGGAGGGATGAACAAAGTGAACTGAAGGTCCAAACACTCCGTACTATGGAATATACTGACCCACCAATTGCGTGGACGTGGGAGGTTGTGTTGATGGACAGGATCTCCTGGGGCAATATCTGGGGGGATGGCTTTGGCAACTTTTGGTCGCCACGTTCTGCAAATCCTTCACCAACAGTCACAGAACACTCTCAAGGAAACCACGCAAGAAATAAAAGGTTCGGGAGGCCATCGCTATTAGGTGAAATAATGAGAAATACGTGTAGAAAACTAGGGAGACCTCCCAGAAGTAGCAACCCCACTAGGTTCGATTCGGAAAATCGACCAGTGTACCCAGCCAGGGGCGAGATGGCGATCGGGGGTCTCCCGGATCTCAATTGCACACCCCAAAAGGTTTTGATCCCATTCCCTCTAACAGGCCGTTACACTTACCGTAAAACTCCCCTAGTGACCACGTTGGGGAAGAAAAATACACACCCAAATATGTTTGACGCATCCACAACCTGCGGAACCTGGTCATGAGTCCTGACTTCCCGCCAAGACTCCTGCGAGAGGTCCTGAAGCTTGCAGTGCGGACCCCAAAGAGCTTCCAAACGTGGCCTCATGTGGCCACAAGGATTTCTATAAATTTCTTCAAGAAAACAGAAAAAAGGGAAGAACACCTACAAGCAATGGCCTCCAACCTACTAGCGATGGCCTCCACCTGTTTTTTTCATAAGTTCTTCTGAAGAAACATCATAGAGAATTCCTGAAGTTCGACTCCGCAGCAAGACATGGTCAGACATGACTCCGAAGCACCAAGTCGCCAAGGCAAGGCTCGATAACGTCCGTTCACGGTGGCCAATCTTGTGAGATCCACGACAGAGAGTTGTGAGGCAAAGGCTTCGAAGTAGATCTCGTTGGCCACCTTCGATCTCGTCGGTTTTTGACGACGACTTCACCAACGTCAACGTCGGAATCGGGATGAAGCAATGGATTTGACCACTTGGTGTGGACGAAAAACAATGCTGCACGAAGACATTTATATAGACACCTTGTTTTGCCTAAACTATCCTTAACTAAAAAGATGCGTCCCACGAACACATTAATTTTGACGTGTGTGTATAGACGCGCGGATTGGTGGCTGGATTCGACCACTTGGTGTGGTTCCCCAAACACCAAGTCAGGAACACATCTCACGGACGCCTGTCCTCCAGCAGTCACAAAGGGGTGCGATCCATGGAGGTTAGGGGTGCCCATTATCCACTCACTTCAGGACTAAACACTACCCCGTCTTGTGACTCCTGGTTGTTTTGCCCTTTTTAAGTTAGAAATCATGATCCAGTCGTGCCTTCTCAGAAGGTGGGACTGGGGCGGGTGCCAGGAGGGTCCAGGTGCCTTCTGAGGTTCGGTACGACTGGATCCCTACAAATGGGGGTAGTCCCCACGTCCATGGCCTCCTAAGGGGATTTACTCACTCTGAGACCTTTTTAGCAAAACATGTGAATACTGGAGCATCTCAACCCAAATCACTTGGTCGATTGGATAGTTGCTTATGTTGCTTCTTCCCACTGGTCACCGTCCAGGTCGCTGCCGTCGGGCTCACTTGACATTGACATGGGCAGGTTGACCAAGGTCTTTAGGACTGCACTTGGCATGCGCAGTCATGGTCATTTTTGGACATTGACATGGGCAGTCACAACAAGTCCAGTCCGGACCTGTTTCTGCCACCGAACATGGTGGACCTAGGCCAACTTGACATCGGCACGACATGAAAACACCGTACTCCAGTTTCACCCTGACCCAAGCAAACCACCAACAACAACAACAGCAACAACAACACCATATATCCTTACAAGGCTACTAGAGTTCGTTACTGGCTAGATCTATATAATATGATATACAACATATATTTTTGCAGAGTTTTAGATCAATCATCAAATCCAACTGTCCAGCGTCCGAGCTGCTGTCGACAAAATGTCAGCACGCAGTGGCTCCGATGTTTTCGTTCGAAGACGCTTCTCAGAGATCCACATCGAAGCATGGCGAGATGTCGGGAGCATGGCGAGAACACCCCGCGGGCCGATCAACAAGAGCAAGAAAACAAACAACTTGTATGTTCTTGAATCCTTTTGGGATACTATTGGGTGGAGGCCATCGCTACGAGTAGCAAGAGGATACGAACGTAGCTTGTTTGGATTTAGCTTGTAACGTTTTGGTTGCATTTTCTATCATTTTCTCCGTTAAAAGTCCTGATCAAGTTCTAAGACATGTTCTCCGTCAGACTGTGCAGCAAATGAAGGTAATTGACAGAAACAGGTTGAACATTGCTATTTGTTCGGCTTTGATCGATTTACCAATCAATGACGTTCCTGATCATTTCGCACCGCTTCTGAGCCTGTGTGCGCGCCATTTTCAAGAGTGTTCCAATCAAGACACCTCCAATTTGGGAGCACATCTGAAAAAATTGTGCCGACACGTCAGACATATGGCATAGTCATTCCGACACATAGTCATCTGGCTATATCCTTTCACCTGTGACCATGCCAGACACGTCTGACGTGTCCGCCTTGACCGACCGGCCGTGCTTTCACCGTGCGCCGCGCCGGTCATCTCGTAGCTCCACGGAGGTCACCCCAGAAGCGCCTGGGGCGAGGGACGCATGGGGACGACTGGCCGAGACACCTGAGACACCTGGTGTGTCAGACACCTGGTGGTGCCACAATGTGGCACCGCTCATATAGATGGAATAGTCTTCCTGGCCTGTTTGGGACACAGCACCCATTAGAAGCACCGTCAGCACCGTCAGCATCCGACAGCCCCTGTTGGCGCACTTCGCAGGCACAGCATCAACGGTGGAACATCCGCAGCCGCCACACCTGGCCATCGCACACCGCGCACCGGTCACGGCGAGCGAGCCGTGTCCACAAGATCTTCACAATGTGAGCATCTCCCAGCAGTTCCATGTCGGAATGGGTTTTGGTTCCCATGTCAGTGGAGAATGGGCACCCCTTATCATCCATCATTTGGAACTGCTGGTAGATGTTTTTGTCTATTTAAGATGATCTACCTGGAGTCTCAAAGAATGAGTACAGTCCGTACAGTCCTGTCTTTTTTGGATCATGCATGTCATATCCCAATTCTTTTTTGCGGTGCTTGAGGTCTCGTGAGGTCGGGTACCTACATTTTGGCGGTTCTTCGATTTGGGACCACGTCTGGGTGTGTGTTAGAATCGGGAGATCGACCTTCACACCCTCGACGCTTTCATTGGTTTCTTTCTAGATACTTTAATTTATCAGTTGTATTTATGTTGCTCAGACCCTAAGAAATCTATTTGTTGATATGCTTTCTACAAACAAGAACGCCCCCAATTCCTCGTTTCGATTATCACCGGGTCGGCCGCTAAGCTCCAAGTGATCCCTTTTGTTCTTTCGCTGAAAAGGGCTGGACGACAGAAACATCCCTCCACCGAAGCCCGGTTGGAGCCCATCGCTTCGAGGTTTCAGGCCGCTCTTAACGGACAAACACACAGCGACGGGTCCCCCGTTGTCCTCCGGCCTGGAGCCACCGGCGGCTGCCAGTACCTGGATCCAATCGCTCCATGTAGCTCCAAGCAAAAGCCACAACGGTTTCAGCTGGTCGGTGGTTTCAGCCCACGAAACAAGAAAATGACACCATTGGTCAGAACGAACGATCAATCGTCCCAAGTAACTGGTGGAACATCATTGAAGCATCCAAATCTCTGAAACCATCACCCACGCATCGCTACTATAAGAGCAAGAACGCTACGATCGGGGCTCCTGGCATCGCGAACCGAACGGAGCAAAGGACGCTACGAACGGGGCTCCTGGCCGTAGCTACTAGTAGCGATCGGACGCTACGAACGGGGCTCCTTGCATCCTCCGACCCCCCAGAGTGATGAGTCGGAAAAAAAAAGATGAATCGCGCACCGATCACTGTCTTCGGCCAAGGTGACATCGATGTGCCACTCTCCATCCTGCCACCGGGTTTCGATCGCTCCAAGAACGGTGGCGAGCAGGGGACGACCGAGGCTTTGGAGAGCCGAGAGCCAGTGGTTGGCCCACACTCATATGTAAGGGCTCTTTTTGTCCGATCTCGCACTGTTGCAACCAAACCACCTGCACCACCGGCTTGGTGTCCCAGGCGATCCTCGCACTTGTGGCGATTCGAAAGGTGGATCTTTTGGGATGGACAACCAGACCGTCTGGAGTCTGGACCCCGTTAAATCGGACCCGTATTCTGAAGGAGAATTCGTGGACCTGACATGACCTGACTCGTGTTTCTGGCGCCATGTTCCTAAGCAGAACCGCAACAAACAATCAAATACCCTCAAATACCGAAAGACCATCTGTCTTGGGTGCCCTGTCTAGAGAAAACCCTAAGCAGCGTAGGGTAGGGACGGTCCTGGTTGAGAGAGCAAACGGAATTTCCAACGCCCTGTTTCTTCCTGCACCATTTTGGTGGCGAATCATCCAAAGTTCCCTTCCACAAGAATCAGCGGGACATCCGAAAGGAGCTGCATGTATTGACATGGTTCGAAGCCTTAGGGGCTCCTGGCATCGCTACTTAGGAGCAAGGACGCTAGTAGGGGCTCCTGGCCGTACTACTAGGAAGCTACTAGGAACAAGAAGCAACTAGGGGCTCCCGCCCCCAGAACCCAACCTCACCGCCTCACCGCTTTCTCTCTTCCGATTCGACCGCCCGGCCTCGGTCTCATCTTCCAGGGCTTCGGGGTCCAAGGAGAGCCGCGCGTAGACGACCTACAAAGACTGATAGGAGGCCCACAACAAGAAGCTACCAGGAGCAAAGGGCATCGCTACTAGGAGCAAGGACACTACTAGGAGCAAGGGGCATCGCTACTAGGAGCAAGGACGCTACTAG